TCCAAATATCGCGTCGTAAATTGCACAAACGCCTCGAGTTATCGCGCGCAAGAGCAAAATCAACACGCGCCCGTTCGCAAACGCGCGTTCCGGCTTTGTGCGAGATGTATATCTTAAAACGGAGGCGAGCGGAGACGTTCTCCAAACGCGCGGTGCCGGTGGGTGATTTCAGCTGCCGCCAACTGGGACGTGTTGGAGGATCGATAGCGTCCAATTACGGGAAATGCGAGGGACCCTCGTACCTGCACATTCTGCAGTTTACTTATTTGCTGACGAACCAGACGGACCACCTTGCATTTTGCATGTTGACAGTTCGCCAGGAACTCCACGAAGCTCGCCGTCCGATCGTCCGGTTCGTCCTGCTCCAGATACTGGCACTCGCTGCACGTACGCGTATCGCATATCATTTCCGACAGTATATCGCGATCAATTTCTCGTGGCGCACAAAGAGATCCGTACGATCTAAGAGGAGCATTTTTTTCTCGAATGAGCCGCCGCGGAAGCGACTGAAGGTGCAAGCGAGTCGACGTGTGAATTGAACAACGTGATCGACAGTTCTTAATTGACGATTGTTTTCTGCTTTCATTATTATCCATTCCTCCATAAGCGATATATCAGAAAATTATTACAATATTTATTTATATTTCCGCAAAGAATTAATTAATATAATTGTATACTGGACAGTGAGAAATTTAACAGTGACGTCCACCGCGAAAAATTGTATTTTTTAATTAGCTTATTTATCTCCATGCTTTTAGTTCAAATGCATTGTTAAACACATGAATTGCATAATGTTGATTCGTAAAGATTATACAAACAACAGCTAATATATTCTTCCTGTTTAAGCTCCTTATTTAATTTTTAATTTTGCTTTTTTCATTAGATATATAGTTAATAAATAAAAACAAAATTAAAAATTAAATAAGAAGCTTAAATAGGAAATATACATTAACTGTTACCGATATAAATTGTGTTCGAATATACACTGTCAGTATTAAATTCTATAGTACGCGCGTGTATGTGTGTATTTTTAAAAGTATAAAACGCATAAAATTGGGGTATTTCTCAAAAATTAATAATAATAATAAATAAGTACCTTCTGCATAAAATAACATTAATTAAAATTTTTATTTAAAAAGATACAAATTATACTTAGAATTATTAAAAGTATAATTACAAGTTTTATAATTATTATTAAATTATTAAATTAAATCCTAATAAAATTGCATACTCTATAGATATACATAAGTAAATATGTTACTATTTATTCTGTAATACATTTGGAAATACATTCAATCGGATCGAATCAATTTAAGTTCCTTCAATACAGACATGAAAAATTGCGTTTTCTCTCATCTGATCTACTTATATTTTATCTATATCTTAATTAATTATTAAGTAAGGTTTCTAGGTTTCTTTTCTGGTGGTGGTTTCATATCTTTTTTCTCTGTCTTCACTTCCTGCTTAACTTCCACAGCTAAAATGATCAGAAAATAAATCAATGACGTTATTAAAAATATACGAAGGAATATACAAACTACATTACGTACGAGCTTCCGGTGCTTGCTGCACTGGTTTTGGCACAGGTAAGGGAAATTTACGAGTCAGTTCTACAAGTAACATATCCACCCTCTGTCGTTGAAATAATGAACCAGGCTCCTCACGCACCGGCGTTTCTTTTTTTGCGGCCAAGGCTTTTCCGTTTTTGAAATCCCAAGAATAGCCCTTACTCGGATGATATCGTGAACAGGCGCTTGCCTCGTCAAAGGCAGATTGCAGATGATGAACCGTGGACAACTATATAAAATATATCTTTTAAATATAACGATCTGAATCTAATGTAAGTATATATATTTTATTAAAAATACAAAATATTCTATAAATAGTCAAGTAATGTGTCAACGAAACTTGAAATATATATTTTTATCCTACTCACCAATCTAGAACTCACAACAGATCCTAAATCTGGAGCCTGATATACCACACCAGCTATGATATAATAATCAGCAATTGGTGAAACTACAGTTGCAGAATGCCTATGTTGTTTCCTAATCACATACAGGATCGGCTCTTGCACATGCAAAAGAATGTACTCCAGGCCGGTCAAATTACTGGGAAGCAACCAGTATAAATACACTTATCCTAATAACGTTTCCGTATATATTTGATTCGATTGGGACTTACGTCAGTAGTTCTGGGTTCGATTGTTGCATCTTGATTATCTCGTTGTTGCAAGTCCTGTCATAAAATGGATTACTTCTTTCCGAGAAGTAATCCATGATATTGCTTGGATTAAGGGTGGGAATCATGACGCTGTTATGCCAGGATAGGCCCAACGGATTTTCTATCAGGTAAGAAGAAGCAAAAGAATCATCATGTTATCAAGGGAATATCAATTACGCTTTAATGAAAAAAAATTCGCGATCTTTACCTTGTACTGGAGTTTTTCCGGGCATCATTATTACATCCAATTAAGGAGAACTTCGTACAAATAATGACAATTAGCGTTATAATAACGCCACTTATGTTAACCTCAGAGCTCACACTGCTGATCGTCACACATATCGTTCTTTCTCCGATTTTCTATTTACTCCGATCCTCACTCTACTGGCGCTTACTGGTATTATCAGACAAACAGTTTTTATCATATGTTAATAATGTTCCTTTTATAAAAAAGAGATAAAAAGAAATTATTTTTTAATACAGTAATTATATGAAAAAATTAATTTAATTTTTATTCATTTATAAAAAAATATTTTATATATAATACATATAATAAAGATCGTTAATTCTGGACAAATTTTCGTAATCATGAAAGAGAGTTTGGAAGTAATTAAAGAATATCAATGTTATCAACTATTGATATCAACTTACGATTGTTAACACAAATTTGAATAATGCTTTATAAATTTATAATTTTTCATTATAAAAATATTTC